CCGCTCAGCCATGGAAACCCACTGGGTGACCTTGGGCAAGTCACATCCTCTCAGTCCCAGAAAACTGCAAGATAGGGTCACCTTAAGTCAGAAACGACTTGAAGGCACACAATAACAATAATTGAGTGATAAATGATGAAAGATAAATGCCTTAAATTGTTATATTTTAAACTCATACTCTGTGCTTTAAAAAATTCAAAGAATGATTGAGGAGAAGAGTAAGCTTACATGGAGTCTACCAATAGTTGCCTTTTCATGCTGTAGGGCATATTATGGAAATGCAAACTTCTTTGGAGGGCCTTCTTCGACCTCTGTAAAAGCTTCTGCCAAGTTGAAACAGCTGGAGGAAGAAAATGAAGATGCCATGTTTGTGTTCCTCTCAGATGTTTGGCTGGACCAAGCAGATGTTTTGGAAAAGCTTCGCATGATGTTCTCAGGTACCTTAGTTGATGAGCTGTATCGGAATATTGGAAATTTGTGGGTATTCACTGATGCACTTGGGTCTGTTCAGAAAAAAAAGCAACTTGTTTAGGAGTTACTTCTGCTGAACATACAGAGTGTGTCCACATTGTAAGTGTACATTGTGCTTGAAAAGAGTTTTCATTTTAAGTATGTTTCAGTGATAATGGATGGGCAAAGTAACCTTTAAAATATTTCCAGAATTCCTGTCCTGCAGACTGGTAGCCATCCCAAAACCTTTGGTCACTGTGAGCCTGCCTCTTTTGTCTTTATTCCAGCCTTGGGCTGACTGTCAGGTCACAGTTCCAGGTTTGGAGGGTGGATTGGGGGACAATGGAAGAGGGAGGTTATATCAACCTTTTTGGAAACAGTCTTTCATCACATGTTCCCTCAATGTCTTGCTTTCTCTTTACTTGTAAGTCAGTATTTCATTCATCTCCAGAATATTCTTTTCACTCAAATGCTGCTATGGAATTGATCCACTCAACCCCTCAAAATCCTCTCACCGGAGGAACCAAATATCTTCTCAACATCATTTTTCAATTTCATACTCTGATCATGACTGATCAGAGACTTGCTGATGTGCAATCAGTGATTCAGAATTACTTTGATTTTCTGGATTTTGTCTGAGACTTGCTGGGTAGCAGCCAAAAAACATTTATAGAGCTGGCTCCTCAAAGGCAACCTTGAAAGTGGCTAACTGAAGTTTCTGCAGGCTCTCCTACTGGTCCCTGTGTTTATTTTAATAAGGGAAGCTGAGATATTACCTTGGTTCCCGCTCCACAGATCTTTCTGGTGATGACAGAT